TAGCACATTTAACCAAAACTAAATCCGAACACCCTCCTATATTTTGCAGTATCATTAAACCTCGAACTCAGTACAGTAACATGCTCCAAACACCTGCTTCTATTAGCATGTTACGAACTTCTCACTTCGCGGAGCAATATCCTAACTCCCATCAGATATCAGAACAACATCTCTTCTTCAAACAAATTTTCCAACACTACATCAAATTTTCTCAACCTCTTCTAATCATCCACATCATCACAAAAAAAAAGAACCTCAACCATTACCCCTCATCAAGAATCACCTCGATCCTAAAAAAACAACCCCTTTCGTGCGCATGATTCATCCTCGTCGGTTATCTCTACGAACATTCGTTAATTCTCCAAGGAAGAAGTAAGAAGAACCGAAGGAAACGTAGTCTCGGCAACAAGCACATACTCGAGCGTTTTCGCGGATGATGACCGTGAAAGAAGGGGGGCGGCAAACCGAGGGAGAGACAGAGAAAGGGGTGAAGCGAGGAACGCGCGAACGAGAGGCTCACCTCACTTCGTGTGGAGTCTCCTTAACGTTAGGAAGCTCTGCCACTAATTGAATCTCCTCTCTTACTCGCGTCTGGAGCCTCAGCAACCGCTGGGAACCAGAGCACCCGTCCTGCATTAAACACCCCCGACACCCTGGCCACCCTCATCCCCATCGAGCGGTCTGGTCCGCCCCTGGCTGCCTTTCTCTTTCGATATGTACCTCTATCTCTCATCCGGCTCTCTTTCTCTCTCTCTCTCTCTTTGCCTTCCTTTGAATATGCTCTGCCTTTCTTTATCTCCTCTTCTTCTTCTTCTTCTTCTTCTTCTTCTTCTTCTCTTCTTTCTGTTCCTTTTTTTCCTATTTTCTCGTTCAGTCTTTCTTTCTATGCTTTCTTGCTTCGCCTTACGTACGTGCTTCTTGCTCATGATTCTGCTTTTGATCAGGCTTCTCTGCTTTGAACCTTTCTCGCGGCTGCCTTTTCAATCTTGTACTTTATCCGGGCATCCTTGTCTTTTGGTTTGAGCTTTTATGTGCTGTGTTGACGATGCACTTTCCTTGGATTTTCTGGTCTTTTCAGTTGGACTTTCAATGTAGTTTACTTTATTTGCGATACTTTAATTTTTAGGTGATGTGTGTACTTTGCATATTTCTGTGTGATGTGTGCACAGTAGTTTGCAAATTTTTATGTTACGTATGCACGGTACTTTGCAAATATTCTCTGGTAATAGTGCACAGATAGAATTTTAAGAGAAGTGGATTTCTTTCCCATAACGAATATGGAATGTGAAGAAAATTAGTATTAAACAGCATACAGCAAAGTGTATTTCGAAACTCGAAGAATCGATGCAAGAAGCGATCGACAGCATCAACGAAACGTCACATATCTAAAATCCTTTTACACGAATATCGTATAAAACATCTCTAGAAATTCTTGTGTAATATAACTTACATAAAATTCATGCTCGTAAAAAATCGTCTTAGAAAATGTTTCCTATATTATTCCCTCGTGAAATAAAAAGAACCTTACGTGTGTTACGTTACAAAGAACATATCGATATCGTGATAAAACCGAAAAATTTAAATACACCTTCCTTCCTGTATGTATATAAAATTTTACCTTTCTTAAACCTTTCACTTGAAACATAAATTTCTTGCAAATATAATTTAGAATATAAATCAGCGTATCAGTGATAGAAAAAGTGTAACGATCGAAGCTATCGTTGAATTTGAAAACGAAAAGTAGAAGCCGGTTAAAATTCAATAAGGATTCAAAGTGAATGCATTACAGAAATAATGCGTATCGCGTGAACCGTTGATTTGAACAAGAATCCATTAATTATGCATATACCCATGACACCGTATTCAGTTGAAATATCAAGCCAGGATTATACATAGTCGTGTACTTATCGATATCAAATCGGATTTACCTTGGCACGCAGAATACCGCTTCAAATCGATACACAGTGAAATACTTGAAACTATCAGAGAGAGATTTGTTGGTTCGTTAAAAATTTCTAATTCATTTCTAACAAAAAAAAAAAAAAGAAACTCGAATAATAAAATATCCTAGGATATGTATGTACATATAAGAAGAAAGTAACACAATGTTTACGGAATGTTTTACAAGGAAAACAAGAAAATTTACAGCGAATAGATGTTAATTACTGTTGAACCTTTCATTGGGGACATAATGTAATGCTGCATCGAAAGGAGATTACGCGTTTTCGAGCGATTAATTAATTAAATGGAAATGGTCGCGAATACTCTTCGTCGAAGAGTATACACGGCGTGGTGTATCGTGAATTCTGCGGGGAAATATCGAGAGATGGGAACGCGAAGTAACGATCAAGTGAGAGATCATGGGAAAAACCGAAACGTGGTATGACGTTGCAAAATCGTTATTGAGTCTCCACATTCGAGCCACTCCTATTGAAGTCTCTCGTGTCGTCGATTAATAGAGACACGCACCGTGCTATGCGATATACGCAATTTCCATGAAAAATTTAATCTTTTTAGAAAAAGTGTGAAACAGATTCGAACACCATTTATTTTTCACTTAGTCTCGAGGGAAAATTGTTTTAAACCTATTTTCAGTTCATGATAAGATTAGAATTAAAAGTATCAAATTTGTGTGAAATTGTTACATTCAGATGATGTTTCGTAACATCTTTCAAGTTAAATTGTTGAGAACCATTTATTTTTCATTTAGTCTCGAGGAGAAATTGTTTTAAACCAATTTTCAGCTCGTAATGAAATAAAAATTTAAATAAAAATTAAAAGTATCAAATTTGTGTGAGATTGTTACTTTCAGGTGATGTTTTGCAATATTTTGCAAGTTAAATTGTTGAGAAGAATGATGTATAGTAGTTTAAACGTTGAATTGGAAATAGTTAAATTTATAAATTTGTCAAATTTCAATTGAAGAAAGTTACCACAGATTAGAATGTTTTTTTAGGCGAAGACCTGTTACAGATTAAATGTATCCTTTGATGTAAAACCAACGACAAATAGACTATTTAACCACGATTGCTGTTATACTAAAGTCCACGACTACGTTTGCTTAGGAGGGTTTGTCTGACCAATAGCCGCTGAAGTCACTTTCTTTGCGGGGTATTCGTGGCTTGAAAATCTTTGATCCGTGAAACCACGGGGGAATTGCGACAAGATTGCTAATATCTAAATTCAGTCTAATCGAATCGAAGATTCGTGCTTCGACAGTAATCGAATAATACTACTTTCACTAAAAAAAAAAAAAAAAGAACAACACTAGAGAAATCACGAAAAACGTTCAATCTTTACCGCGAATTCTACCTCGTTTTCTACCGAAATTCGCTGCAAAGTGATAGCACATTTTTTCAGAATTCATTAAAATCTGAAAAACAAAATAAAAGAAATTCTACTAATATGCAATCATATTTAACATTGAAAAACTAGAAATTCCAAAGAGTGCAATTATTTCATCGCGAGCTCTAACGCAAGTTTCTTAAAAGAAATAGAAGAAAAGCAGGTGGAGAAGATATAAATTAAACAAGCTATTCGTCGCTATAGTGCAGACAAAAGAAATAGACTATTCAATATCACCTAGTATCCTATCACCCTAACAGCTGAATTAAGATAAATCGTCAATAACAAGTAGTATCTCCTACTTTCACAAAAAAAAAAAAAAAAAAGAACAACACTAGAGAAATCACGAAAAACGTTCAATCTTTACCGCGAATTCTACCTCGTTTTCTACCGAAATTCGCTGCAAAGTGATAGCACATTTTTTCAGAATTCATTAAAATCTGAAAAACAAAATAAAAGAAATTCTACTAATATGCAATCATATTTAACATTGAAAAACTAGAAATTCCAAAGAGTGCAATTATTTCATCGCGAGCTCTAACGCAAGTTTCTTAAAAGAAATAGAAGAAAAGCAGGTGGAGAAGATATAAATTAAACAAGCTATTCGTCGCTATAGTGCAGACAAAAGAAATAGACTATTCAATATCACCTAGTATCCTATCACCCTAACAGCTGAATTAAGATAAATCGTCAATAACAAGTAGTATCTCCTACGAAGAGATTAAAAAAAGTTTCACTCTACAAAATGTCCGTTTATTTGGAAGAAAAAACAAAACAATTTATTTTGCACCATTATCGTTTACAATGATTAATTACATATACAGCGTTTTTGCAAAAGTTTTCCAGCATATTACATCTTTCAGTGAACGTTCAATCGTGTTTCTATAACTTAGAACACTTGGATACATCGACAATGATATATTGAAGCTGATGTGAGAGAGTCAGTAAGACAAGAAAACGAGTCGACTTGTGTGCGATATACTTAAGATGAAAGCCTATTTCTTTCGTCTCTACTATAATTGTCACGGCGTAGAGTCCGCGGGGGTAAAAGACGGTTTTCACAGCCTGACTCTGTTTCGGAGCTCTTCGAGGCCCTCTCCTCTTGACAAGCAAGCACGCCATTAGGCCGTTCCCCGTGTCCTATGTGTTCGTGGTAATGTTTCCTCGCGCGTGGTAGCATCTCGGATACCTTTTTTTATAGGAAACATCTCTGATCGGACGATGCTATGAGAATATTTATCGAAATCTCATCACTTACCGTCTCTGTTCATGTTAACCTCGAAACACTTGGCTAGCCGACATGCACGGCATTGGTTTCTGTGTGTCTTGTCGATGGGACAGTTTCCTTTCATGGAACCGGTACCCTTGCACATGTACCTTCGATTGCTGTGGATGCTCCTCTTGAAGAATCCTGAACAACCTGGTCAACATAGAATGGTTCGAACGTCGCGTTACTAATCGATTGATCGTACTCTGAGAGACGAGAAATTTTTAAGGATTCTATCGTGTGATAGGAGATGTTGGATATCTCTGAGAGGAATGAGAATTGTTTTCTTTTTTAATTTAAAGAAATATTGACCTTAGGTTCTTCAATAGTTATTTAGTGAAAATTGTGAAAGTTAAGTTCATACGAAAGAATTCGAGAGGAATGAAAATTATTACTCTTGGATTCTTCAATAGTAATTTACTAAAGATTGTGAAATTGAAATTAGTACCAGAGAATTTGGGAGGAATGGAAATTATTGACCTCAGATTCTTCAATAGTAATTTACTGAAAATTGAGAAATTTAAATGAATACCAAAGAAATTGGGGGAAATGTAAATTATTGACCTCAGATTCTTCAATAGTAATTTACTAAAATTTATGTGAAATTTAAATTAGCACGAAAGAATTTTGGGAGAAATGGAAATCAGTGACTTTAGATTCTTCAATAGTAATTTATTAAACATTGCGAAATTTAAATTAGTACCAAAGAATTTGGGAGGAATGGAAATTATTACCCTCAGATCTCTTCAAAAGTAATTTACTAAAATTAATGTGAAATTTAAATTAATACCAAAGAATTTAGGGGAAATTAAAATTATCGACCTTAAATTCTTCAATAGTAACTTACTAAAAATTGTATGAAATTTAAATTAACACGAGAGGGCTTAGAATTTTTCAAGGATCAATTTTCGAACGATTAAAAATCCAACATTTCATATCAAACGATCGAATAAATATTATACACCGTCGGATAGATCACGACCACAGCACAGATGTCTATAATTGTCTATAATCATATGATACTTTCGATCGATAATTAAAATAACGAATTTCATTCTCGAAAAAGTTTTCAGGAACGAAACTGAATCTGTAAAAAAATGATCGTGAAACTGAATTATGTGTTTCGGTTGGCTGTCGAATGAATCGATATGTTAAAATAAAGCGAAATTGTAATCAACGAATCTGTTGTTTGTTATAGACGGCAAATGAACGTTTGTTGAAGTGTCTATTTAGGAAAAGTTAATGTACAGAAGAGCTTGATAATTACCGTCGCAACTGTAGATGCCGTAGTGTTTTCCAGAGCTACGGTCACCGCATACCAGACACGGTATATCAAGTAATCTGTCCCCTACAACAGAAATTGACTTAATGGAAAAACGGAAAGTCTAACAAGTATTAACGATAGTTTCTGTTTCTCTCAAGGTTCTTTTTTAAATATGTCTCTATACAAAGGCAAAACATTCCCGGAAATGAAATCACTTTTAAGATTCTATCCGTTTCTCATACTATAATCGGACTACAATTTACGATAATCAATTGAAGAGCATATTAGAAATTATTGTTCACTCCTAAGAATATTTGAAAATTGTACGAAAGTATATAGCGTATAAGTTGCATTGATGTATGAATTTAATTAAACGTACGATTAAATTTTCATAGTATTTTCATAAATTAAAAACAATTAGCTCTAATTTCTAATAAAACAGAATCGGAAGATAAGAAGCTACTGTGAAATATCACGATTGATGATATTCTTTCTAAAGAATAATGTCTATGCGTTATTTTCAATTTTCGAATGAGTTAATTTCTAAAATATGATACGTGAAGAATATAAAAGTTACATTTTCCATAATTCAATCTATTTCTCAACACCGCGTAAAACATTGAAATGACAAAACAAATTCATTGATTACGTTTGTGGCTAATAGGAGGTACATACGGTACGTAACTCTCTGTGCGTCTGACCAAGCACGGACATTTCTACTTAATCCTTATTCTACGATACAACGCATTCGGATAAGCTGCCCTACGAAATCTTTCTCTCTCGTACATGCATGCGTATATTCTTTCAACTCCATTCTGGCCATCGTTAATAACTTCACAATTATAGCAATGCAATTATAAAAAAAAAAATGAACATTATACAGGAAGAAATATTTACAAATAAATTCTACCGACACGTGTTTCACTCTATTCAACTTTCACAAGATTACGAGAGGGAATTTTCACTAATTGAAGCAAAACTAATTCAGAAGAAGCTAAAAAAATTAAACGACGATAAAAATCTTTTAAATGTTACAAATTCAATTGACTATAAAAATTTTCTAAACCTGTTGTCTTTTAAATGTTACAAATAAAATTTTCAACATTTACAAATAGAATTCTTTTCTTGTGAAAGTATTACACGTACGTGGTCTCTTCCGAACGTTGCAAATCACATTTTCAATTTGTCCCTCGGGGGAAAAAAGGGTTGACCATGCGATTAATCCGCCGTGAGAATAGTATCGCGGAGGACTTTTATGCGGAAGAAAGCGGAGAACTTAAAAACGTGAAAAGCTAGCGGAAAGAGGAGTCCATTTAAGAAAGCGAAGCGGACCGCAAGAAGAGCTCGAGCGTTAATCTGTTCTCCCCCTTTCCGGAGGAACCCTAATCGTCCTAATGATCCGCGGCAAGAAAAACACGGCCATGCCTAAGCCAACCAAAGCTTCCGTTTCTGGCCTGGGGAACCAACCGCCTTCTTCTCACACCAGACACCTACCAACCTAACCCGATCAGTCGAGTTGCTTCAACCCCAACAGATTACCTCCTTCGACGTTCACACTTATACGGCCGTTGTCTTATATCCTGCGCGTCGGTTAAGTGTAAACGGTTTCAATAGCCAGAGAGATTAGGTCTCTATGGTATTTCAAAGCTGATCCTACTGGTAATCTTGTTTATTCAGTCGTTTATTCGAGTTTCGTCGAAATGATTCGTTTTATAAATGTTGAAACTTTATATTTTTACTGAGAGAGAGAGGTCGAGGAATCGTCTGTGTGAAATTTATTCGTAGAATGGCTCGAAAAGAGATGGATAAATTTCATATACACGATAAGAAGATACAGAGAATTCTTGTTTTACTAATTTTACTAGGTGCAAATATTTTCTGTTTAAAAGTGATTACCGTGGGATTACTTTACTGGAGAAATTGCTATAATTTGTATCGTTGTGAAACTATCTGTGTTTCGTATTGATCTATTGGAAATGATAATTGCATTCTGAATTTTGGGATGTTTTGCATTTTATGAAATTGAATGGTAATTTGGAAAAATTTGTGTAATAGTAACGAAAATTTTGATATTTGTGTGCAATTTGAACAGTTTGAATTAATATTAACTCCGACGTGATAAGAAAATATTTAGAATATTTAGAATATTTTGCAAGAAAGTATTTCTCACTTATAAGATGAATCACCTTAAAAGTGTGATCATTATTCCCTAAAATACACTGTTCCAAATGATCATTTCAAAAGAAACTTAGTAAATGAACGACGGAGTACTTAACTACTAAAGCAATAATACAGATTAAAAAATATACGTGTAACTTGCAAACATAATAAAAAACATTCTGTAAATGCACGTATATTAACCACGGTCAAAATTTCGAATACAATTTCGAACACCGAAGATTTCCACTATCGCGAGAAATTAAATACAAATATCTTCCAAAAACACTTCAAAGTAACTTCGAAAACTATAAAACCGTGTATCATATTCCACCACAAATTTACCTTCGGAAACTACTGCCTGATTTTCAAACTAAAAATCAAGTGAAACGTAACACTCGATGCAAACGACGAACAACCATCCTCTTATTCACAACAAACTTCCTCAATCCAAATTCAATCACTAATTCTAACCCAGAATCCCCGTATATCATCACCGTAGACCACCAACCGAACAACCAACAACTAGCAATAAATAAAAAAGAAACAGCAGTTACATGAACATCTTCCAAACACCCAAAAAAAAAAACAAAACAAAACTAAATTCTCCATAAAAAACAGAACTAATGGAACGAACCATTTGAGCACGCACGCAAAGCGGACAATCGTCGACAGGCCAAAGCTCTACCCAGTCGTCAAGTCACCAAGTCATCGGAACTTGAAAACCGCTTAACTATAAAAGAAAAAGAAAAAAAACAAACTTATTACCCATAGAACAGAAACCAAGAAAAAAACAAAGAAATTTCACGCGTAACACTTGTCTAATTAGGCACGTTGGTACCCTTTTATACAGGGGAGCCGGCGAACCACTCTTAACGTATATAGCAGTATATGTATCACCAAGGAGAAAAGCAAGAGAGGCATGCCTTATCGAACTGACCTGTGCCCATCCTTCGCGGCTGATCAAAGTCGAGCATCCCCAGACGGACGACTGGACCGATGGTCGTTCTGACACGATGCCGAGGGAGTCGCGCGAAGTCTCGAAGCGTTCTCCGTGACGAGGTGGCTTCGAGCCTCGGCGTAGCTACTCATCTCGCTGGGAAGGGCGGGTACCGCGAAAGCACCCCGTTCGTGTTCACTCTGCTTGTGTGCCTGTGTGTGTCAGCGCCAGCGTGTGTGTGTGTGTGTGTGTGCACAGTGCGTCTGTCCGCTTGTGTATACGCACGTATAGGGGCTGCTGCCCGATTGGCTGTCGGAGTTACCTATCTCTCCTGACCGTAGCCATACTAGCTGGAATCACGGGTCGTTCTTCAACACGCTCGACGTGCTTCCAGGAGAGGGTGGTTGGCCAGGGTGTGGGCGACGCCTAACACACGTACAGAAGTTCCTAAACGGCCGCGAGTCGGCGTGGCTATGACGTCGACGCGCGGGTAGCGAAAGCTTCGATCCTTTCGCGATCTTGATTTTTTTGCGGATGATTGTTGAGACTGTGGTTTGGGGAGATTTTGAGCTCTGGGTTGTAGGTGCTTTGTGAATCTGTAGGTAGGTTTTGAAATCTTGTGGAGAGTTTATTGATTCGTGACACTTTTAATTGTATCGAACTTCTGAGTTGCGAAGAATATTCCAAAGTAAAATTATCACGGCAAGGAAACTAAGAAAATGAATACCAGCATATCATTTATTTTTACAATCACTACTATAATTCATACAGGTTTTATTAATTTGTGACACTTTTAATTACACCGAATTTCTTTAATAACAAAGATATAACAAACTAACTATAACTCCTACAATTCAAACTGACCATTTCATTTCAATCCTTCACGCAAATAATTAAGAAATTCCTTAACTTAATAAATAAATTATACATCTAACTTTCTATTAGGTCATCCCATAAGTTTCTATCGAATTTTACAATTCAGATCAACATTTCCAACGAACCTTTTAATTTTCCAAATAAACCGTAAGCGTCTTCTCTTGCCTCTTTTCAGTATAACACCATTATGTCGACGCTACAGAATTTCCTTCGATCTTCACTAAAATATTTCTCTCCATCGACACGAACTTACAGAACCCTCCACCCTCCACTCATTTCCCCAAACTCAAACCAACAATTTCTCAGTACTACCCCGATACAAACAAACTCCACCACCAACCTCAATTAAAACCAGTACAAGTTCGTAGCCATCGCTAGATCCAGCTTTAGTCAGGCTATTGCACGATGTACACCACTTCTTCAATGTGGCTGGTACGTTGGCCAGAAATAGGAGGGGGGGTGGATGGTAGCGCAGATGAAGAGGGGTCAGAGGATGGTGACAGGAGGATAGGTGGGGAATTCCAACGGGCGACTAGACGGCCCGCGGACTTGCTGGCCGAGTGGCTGACGCGACTATAGTGGGGTAGTGCTAGTTAGCCACGGGAAATGCGGGGGCGGCTCCAAAGGCCACGTTGTCAGACGAACGTTACCACCGTGTCATTGGTCGACTCCACCCCTGAGACGGCACAGGGGTGCAGATCTATGTAGCAAGAGTGGATGGGCGTTTCCAGCACGCCCATTCGACGACGGAAAAGAGCCTGGATTCTGACGACCAACCGCGCTCCCTCGAGATTAGACCGACGTCGTAGGTGGCTGCCAGGCGCCGCGATGCCATTTGTCGACGAGATGGTAGTACGCTCGTCGTTTCTTCCGGTTTCCAGGCGTCGAGGGGTGGATAGAGAATCGACACGATGGTGCCAGAACTGTGCGGTTTCGGAGAAAGAAGGGATGATGGTAAATGTTAATGCAAAGATACTCGACGAGCCACGTCCCCTCTCTTTCTCTCTCTCTCTCTCTCCAACTCCCCGAGCCGTGAAATGAACATTGAGCTTCGATTCGAGCAACTTCCGTCGACAATGGGATATATAGATGTCCTCGTTCTTTCCTTTTTTTTGTTTTTTGGTTCATATTTGGTACGTAGATATTCGACATCACAGTTAGACTTGTTCTTTCGTGGATTAGAGTGTGCAGTGAATGGAGATAAATGTTTATTCGACAATTACGTTTGTAATGGTAAATATGAAATAGTTTTGTTGTATCCCTTTTTGGTGAATTTTTAGAATTCGTTGTATTTTTTGTGTAGAAGTGTCTATTGTTGGATGTGGTTGATTTGAAATGATAAATTTTGAATGTAATGTGTGTATTAAGAGTAATTTTAGTGATTTTTGTAGTTTATATGTTGAAATTGAGGATTATAAGTATGTCGTTTTAATGATGGTATATAAATCGATAGCAATCGAATTCTTTACAATATTTGAGAGTTGTTGATAGGTTGGAGAAGAATTATACGAAATTTCTGTATTATAAGAATTGATACGTTCTTTAAACGATGATTTATTTTATAAATTATATTTTGCCGTAAACATAAAATTATTTCGTGATTGAGTGTTATTTACCATGTTATGTGAAAATATATATTACCATTGGTTGTTACTTGGTGGGAAATTACCACATATGATAATGGAGCAGAGAAGGTACAGAAGAAATCTGTCCACCTGTTACCATACAGATGGTAAAGTTGAGAGGTATAGGTAAAAAATCCTCCTTTGTTAACTCAGGCATAAACTATTTACACATATTGACTTTCTTGGGTAGAACTTTGACGATCTCTTGAAAGCAGTAAAACATGCACACAAGGGATGAATCATCCACTAATGAAATATTATTGTTCCGCGAACCACCCGCGGAATATTATTATAAAACCAGCCGATTTTGTTTTCACCCGGTCTAAGCATTTGTTCTATAGCGGCTAGCAATCTGGAGAAAGGAAGAAACTATCTGGCGTGCAAATGGTTAGTACGTTTCATGGCACACAATCTATGTAGAGGGGTTATTTATAAGGGTGGAGAAATATATTGAGAATGTATAATGACGTTTTATTTGCGCGGAGCCTTTGTTTCCGTGTAAGTTGAGGTTGCAAATTGATCGAGGTGTGGGACACGGTTACAGTAGTAGGAAAAGAACTTTTATATCGTTCAACGGTGACTTTTAAGTAGCAAGATACTCTTATTTCACTGTTCATCTTTGAAACTTGAATGCACACATTGTTGCAGTCTCTATTCTCGAATGCAACATCGATGGAAGCACTATTTCGAATGCAAAACATTGTTGTACGCGTTACTTTTGAACGCAACATTGCTTGAAGCGTTATATTTGAACGCAAACATTGCTGGAATCCCTATTTCTGATAGCAACATTATCAGAAGCGTTATTTCGAACGCAAACATTATTACAAGCACTACACTAGAATGTAACATCGTTACAAGCGTTGTTCTCGCTTGTAACATCGTTAACTCGTATTATTATCGCTATTATTATTCGCTCCCGAAAATTGCACATTGTTGCAAACGCGAACCGGGGGTGCAACTTTGTTGCCGCGAATCGCTCCCGAAAATTGCACAATGTTGCAAACGCGTTCTGGGTTTGCAACTTTGTTGCCGAGAGTCGCTCCCGAAAAAAGCACAAAGTTGCAAAACGGCGCGTCGTGCAACAATGTGCAATTTTCGGGAGCGATTCGCGGCAACAAAGTTGCAAGCGCGATACCCTCTTTGCACCTTTGTTGCCGCGAATCGCTCCCGAAAATTGCACAATGTTGCAAACGCGTTCTGGGTTTGCAACTTTGTTGGCGCGAAAATTTGCACATTGTTGCACGACGCGCCGTTTTGCAACTTTGTGCTTTTTTCGGGAGCGACACTCTGCAACAAAGTTGCAAGCGCGATACCCTCTTTGCAACTTTGTTGCCGCGGATCGCTCCCGAAAATTGCACAATGTTGCAAACGCGTTCTGGGTTTGCAACTTTGTTGTCGCGAAAATTTGCACATTATTGCAAACGCGTACTGGGTTTGCAACTTTGCTGCCGAGAGTCGCTCCCGAAAAAAGTACAAAGTTGCAAAACGGCGCGTCGTGCAACAATGTTCAAATTTTCGCGACAACAAAGTTGCAAACCCAGAACGTGTTTGCAACATTGTGCAATTTTCGGGTGCGATTCGCGCCAACAAAGTTGCAAAGAGGGTATCGCGCTTGCAACTTTGTTGCCGAGAGTCGCTCCCAAAAACAGCACAAAGTTGCAAAACGGCGCGTCGTGCAACAATGTTCAAATTTTCGCGACAACAAAGTTGCAAACCCAGAACGCGTTTGCAACATTGTGCAATTTTCGGGAGCGATTCGCGGCAACAAAGTTGCAAAGAGGGTATCGCGCTTGCAACTTTGTTGCCGAGAGTCGCTCCCGAAAAAAGCACAAAGTTGCAAAACGGCGCGTCGTGCAACAATGTGCAAATTTTCGCGACAACAAAGTTGCAAACCCAGAACGCGTTTGCAACATTGTGCAATTTTCGGGAGCGGTTTTCGGCAACAAAGTTGCAACCCCGATTGCGCTTTTGCAACATTGTGCAAACTTTTATTTAACATATGAAAGTTAATGTTATTTTTGTGTGTTACAGATGGAATATTCGGGCCACCACAGGAATCAAGGAAAGGACTTCCACATCTTCAGGGAAAATGAAGAAATGCAATTATTTAAGAAAATATGAATTATTTATTGTAAGATAAGTGTACAAAATGTATTTTACAAAAGGTTGTAATATACCAGTATTGTTTCACAGCATTTTACAGTGTATTCATTTCTCCCTTACACACCACATCCATATCCTTTTACAAAACACTCATCATTTTAATAATATTCCATTACAAAATTAAATAAATTATAATATAGTGTCAGTATTGTGCATGAAGACGAATTTATTGCCAATAATTCTATTCTCCGATGGCGTGTGTTTCCAAGATGTTTAAATACTGCTCCTTTCTCATTATCCCGTTGATTTTTATTAAATATCCAATGGCATTTCCTCCGAAATACTCTTAAATCATAATGGAACACTCACCGTGCTTTGCAGTCGCCATAACACAATCTGGCGACAGTTTTTCTTGCTGTTTTCTTGGTACAAATATTTCCCTTCTGTTGCCATAAATTTCCAATTTCCATTCGTCTGTTCACAACACTTTTCTCAGTCGGTAATTGTAAACATAACTGACATTAATGAAACCATTCACAACGAAAAAGGGATCTAAAGCTGAAGAAATAATGAGCAATTATTATTAGTAATTCAGATCTGTTCTAAAATGGTAACGATTATAACGTATCCTGTCTTATATTTTATTTATAATTTCATATTCACATTTAATTTTTATTCTCACCACTGGTAACGTTGGAATCTGCACGAAAATGGTATGGGGGTCTTTAGAGCCCTCGTGACATGGCAAGAGAATGCATTGGGTGATATTCTGTACCTCGTTTATGGATCTATTCTGTACATCGTCTATGGTGAAAACATTCTGCATTTTACAATAATGAAATACATATTTTGTATCAGTATTTTAATTTACTGATAGAAATAAAACGACATTAATATTAAAGATGTTAATGTATTTAAGAAACTTATAGATTTAAGTTTTTATTAGATGAATATTCTTGTATATTGTTTAATTGGAGATGCAATTTATAACAAAGTATTATTTATTATGTTATTAAGTGTATTACAAAGTGAGAAATAGAAAAAATTGCACATGTTAGTTCTTGAATAAAACCTAACCTAACAGCAAACCTAACCTATTCATTGTTATCGTGCCGATGTAAATAAATGATCACATTCTAGCTTCCTACTATACTTGTTTTGCAAGTGTTAAATTTATTGTTATTATATCATCATGACTGTACAAATGTTTAAAAAAGTTGTATTAAATCTGAAATGTGACATCAATATTTTTATTAAATGCTGTCAGTCTAGTCACTATATTTCTAATGTTTCTTGTCAAAATATACATAAAAATCTTTTTTCTGACAATAAAGCATTAGTGGGATATTTCTCAAATGAACAAAATTTTTCAAAAAGAAAAACGATTTCTTCCCACCAACAAGCAGTTACACATAAAATCCTTAAAGGATCATTATTATGTAGCAAGGAGGCAGTATTAGCTAAAAAAGTTGCAATTAATCATTATGCTGTTACTGTAAATAATATTAGACAATATGGAAGTTCATCACCTGTAATTGTAAATGAAGCTTTTAAATACAATAGTGGCATTTTCCAAATAATTTCTGAAAGTCTACCAGTTGCATTGATCACTGATGCTTTGAGAGTAGTACATTTTGATGTAGGTTTACCATGGTGGGCAACTATTGTATTCAGTGCAGTTATTGCAAGAACATTTATACATTTACCACTAACTGTATATGATGTAAGTACCATTATTGTTTTGTCACAGTAAATCATAATGCTATGATCATAGCTATACTGTTATGATTCATGTGTGGAAAAATATTTATAAGTGACATTATTTCAGCATCGAACCAGAGCTAGACACGAAAACTTACAAGGTGAATTGAAGGATGCAACAAGAAGAATAAAAATGGATATACAAATGAAAGTGGCAACAAATGAAATATCCTCAAAGCGTGCCATGCTTCTTTTTGCAAAGAGAGTATTTATCTTTTTTTGTATATTTCTGCTGTATTAACACACTGAATAAGTAAATTATTCATATTATGTAGTTAAATGACTAATTGGAAAAATGCTATGACATTTTTCTATTTACATTAATAATGTTTATGAAATCATTTCTTTTTGGTTTTATAATAGTTTAAAGAAGAGGCAAACAAATTGTATCAAAGAGAAAACTGTCATCCATTCAAAAGTGTAGCAATAATATTATTACAAGCACCAATATGGTTAAGTTTCTCAGTTGCAGTGAGAAACATGTCGTATATGTTACCCGAGAGAACTCCTGGTGAATAAGTATTTTTATTGTGTAGCACTTTTAAATTAGAATTAGCTGTAGACTAAGCTCATAAATTTCCCATATTAGTTACCTTTCAGGATTACTTAGGATTAACTCATGGTGGTTTTGGATGGATACAAGATCTTACTGACATAGATCATTTATTTGTGCTTCCTATAATTTTTACATTCTCTGGTTTAATCTTAATAGAAGTAAGTGTGAACTTTTTAACATAAACGTGAATATTATTACATGTAACTGATATAATTTGCAGATAAATCGAGTATTATATAATGTAGATGATACAAAACTGAGAAAATTCATCTTGTATTTCCATAGAGCAGTTACGATTTGTTTTTTGCCTATCATGATGTGTATACCATCGGTAAGTTACATACGCATTTTAGAAAAATTAAATTAATCAATCCGATCGTTCTACCGTTTTCTGTATTAATACTTGCAAATTATATATTTCAGTCTTTAAATTTGTATTGGGCAACTAATAATTTCTGCTCAGTGTTACAAAGTCTATTACTTTTGTCCCCAAAGTTTCGTAGATTTGCAGGAATATCTAAAACCGCTATAGAATTGCAGCATCCGTATACAGAACTGCGTAAACGTTTAATAGGCATATTTCGCTGGAAAAAAAGATCACTAACGAAAACGTAAATTTCGAATGAAACCAATGATCTGTTCTTATTATGTCGAATGTAATTACATAATTTATTAAGACAGATGAATAAAGAAGAAGTAATTATCAATGTGTTATTAATAATCATTAATAATACGCTATTACATTAGCGTATGAAACTATTATATACGCTAATACTATTTCAAGATTTCCTTCTAAGAATGAGCATAATCGAGATGTTGTTCGCACCTTTGATCTTCAGTGTTGTATAGAACTAAGGTCGTAAAAAATGTCACCTTGCACATACCAAAAAAAAGAAAAAAAAAAAAAGAAAACATCCGCTTCTGCAGATAGCACATTAAATCATGTTCCTTATTTATACTTAGAAGGCGCAGTATATATAAAATCAATTTCATTGGTAAAGAAGACATTTTGAAGAACGGATTTGTAGATTCGAGAAACGGATTTGCAGTCATGGCTAGTATCAAGCTCTCGACTCTTCTGCTATGCGCGATTCTTTGCACTGGTTTCTTCTGTGGACTAACATACGTATGTATTTTGTTGCTGTATTTGTAGAAATACGGATTTATTATCAACAGTCAGATTATTCAGCTTGTAAAATTTTTTAAATTTCAAATTTTTCTTTCAACATCCACACGCTTGCAGATCTAAATATGAAATACACACTTATGCATACTATGTCTTAATTACTTTTAGGCAGAAGTTTACGCCTATCCAGGTGACTGTTCGAAATACCAGCACTGCGACAATAGCGGATGCTTCGTTTTATCGTGCGGCGCAGGAACAGAATTCAATCCAAACATCGGTACCTGTGATTATCCTCTGATGAACCGTCAGGATTGTGGGAATCGCGGATAAACTGGATAATAAAATGCTTGAAATTTCGACGTGAATGTAAAAATGAGAAAGCAACAGCATTATGAAGAAGGCACCACAATTTCCACAACTTTTGTGACTTGTACTTTAAGGAAGTGGAATAATTGAATAAAGTTACTATGTGTAAATTTACAACACCGGTGTTTCTCATTACTATTACAAGCCTTTAAGTGACATGTACAACGTAGCTTTCTGTCAATTGAAAAATACTATCTCGTGAATTACAACTTCTTGTTTGTTCAATTTCAACGTTACAGCGAAGCTTATCTATCTCTTTAAAGATCGAGTATAACAATGGATAAACAATATTAGGCACGTTTTACGGGCTGTACCATTGTTGTTCCAATGAGTATCATTGACAATTACTAATTTAGCTTCGAGTGGCCCTACACGTCGACTGAACGACGTCTGATGCTTTATGCAAGCTGGTCACTGCTCGCGAAAACTATACCGCAACAGTCCAGAGACGACCTTTGCTCGCGTGACAAACTGATAATCGTCGGTGGTACATTGAGAAAAATAGGAAAAAATTCGATAAATCGTTCTGTTCGTTGGTTCGTTAAAAGCGTGATTTCTATGCTGAAGATTTAAACGCGATAATTCCATTACTATTGTAACCTACGATAATATATAACGAACAAAGCAACCCTTTTGCATGCGATAGGATGAGATCTCGATTGTTCATTTTGTTGTGTGTATTGTGCTGTTGTTTTTCCGTTTCCTCTGGCAAGAGGGTGAAAGTGGTAAGTATAAGATCTATTATAAAAGAAATTTTACCTTCTTATTCGTATCTTGACAAAAGCTTCTACATATGTTACATTAAGCACTTAATTAAGTAATAAGTAATAAAGTTCAAAAACGAAGATACACAAGTTTGCTTATATTTTACAGTAGCTTCTATCGTTACTGTTATCTCGCTTCCGGATATTAAGTATTCTTCTTAATATCTTCTATCTTTAACTTGTATTTTGACTACATTCTATTGCTTTCTTTGCAATTATTCTGCTATTATCGCTATTTTTCTCTTATTCACTTGAGAAGCTTATACAGCTAGACGTGTCGTTTAACGCGTAACTTCTTAAGACAACATCCGAAAGATTACACACACCTTTTATCGTTTCCTCACCAAAGTAAAAATATCATTCAAATTATTATAGGAATATCTTATCGCGAGTACATGAGTCATTAGCCTGATTACATCTTTCATTTGTCTCCTACTTTACACACACTTTTCGTTGTTCACACTTTCGGATGCTCTCCTTCATTGTAATATCATTGCACGCAATTATTCTCAACATCCTACCCTTCTGTCCTAATTTCTATAACTCCAAAAATGACCACACACGTCTAATAAAATTATAGAAAAGAAACCACATTGTTATTGCCAAATTCTTCCCACAAATTCGCGATATTTAACAATTCATGCCTATGTTCCTGTCCTAATTTCTGTCACTTCCTATTTCAATATAATTTCCTACCAGTTCACTAAAAGTACTATGTATCTAATAAAATCGTACAAAAAGGCAACGTTATTATCGTCAAGTTTTCCCTATTCTACAGTTCTGCAATGCGAGAGAACACATTCTCCAATCCAACTCTTCTGTCCTAACTACTTCTTCCCTTTCCTTTAATATAATTTTCTACCAGTTCAATAGAAAAATGCAACGCTATTGTCGTCAAATTCTCCCTATTTCACGATACCGTCGACGTTCTCCAATTCTGCACAAATACCACTCTCCCATCTGCTCGTGCATTCACAGGAGGGCAAAGAGTTCGACGTGAAGCCGTACCCAGAAGACTGTTCAAAGTACCTACTATGCCGGAAAGGGGTGTGCAATTTGACAAACTGTCAGTACACCTACATGTTCGACCCAGCGACCGGCACTTGTACTCATCGTGCACGAGGGAACATCAACTGTGATAGTCGTTCACCGAAGAAGCACAGTTTCCCTTGATCGAAACTACCCTAAGGATCTCCCGAATTCGTCCCGCTGCAACACCTTCACACCGCGAAAATGTAGCCGAACCATAATAAAATAATGCAGAGAAACCACGAAACCACCTTTCCATACGTCTCTCCAATTATTCTCCATCTCGTTTTCATTGCTGCAATGTTTGCAGCTCGGCAGTCGGCTTCTTTATCAGGCTCCGCGCGTCTGATTGTTGTCAACGAGGGCCAATTTGTTCTCTCGGGAGTCAATTGGCAAACATTTCTGTGTGCACTCGCTCCATTAGCCTGTTGATAACAGCTCGTCCGTCCTTCTTCCTCGGCCGTAATAAAATCATCTCCTCTCTTTCGCGCCTTCTCACGCCCGTATCTGCTCATCCTGCTCTTCCTCGTTCTTCCCACCAGCCACGGAGCGATTCCGTTTCTCGAACGGTTGATCTCCGCGTCGCGACCCTCGACCTCCGCCGACTGATAACCCTTTTCTTTCTCCGAACCGCTGCGTGTTTTCCCTCGAGAACACCGACTATCTGCGGCTTCTGGGTAAGTACGTACACGCTAACGACGTCTCGATCGCGATCGAACCACGGATTTCACGAGGAAAACGAGATCGCCGCGCCGCGATGCCCGCAGTATCGTTTAAGCGTCGAGGATGATGTCGCGTGGTACCGGTACTTTTCCCGTCGTTCTCGCTCTTCTTCTCTGTGCCATCGTCACACTCGCCTACGCGGTACGTCTTCTTCCTCCCTTCTTGGTCCTGCCCTACCCCGGCCGTGCCACTTGCTGGCCACGTGATTTTAACGCGGATGGATCGCGGATCGATTCTTCGAGGTAGCAAAGCGTCCACGATTCGCCAATTTTCGACGTTTCCTTGTGTACCCGTTTGACACAGCGAGTCGAGCATTTCTTCTTTTTCTTGTTCTGGAGAAGGCTTGTTTCACGGTTCTGCCTAATTTCTGTTCCTGGTTCTGTCGGTGTTTTATTAGACAAGAACGTAGGTTGAATTTTGTTGAAGCTTGTTTTGTGTGAAGAGCCGAGATAAGTAATCGAGGCTCGAGGAAAACTGCGTTTTCATAATTGAACGTTTCACGTGTTTGACGGTATTTCATTAGAATTTGATATGGTGCTGATAAGAATGTAGGCTCAAATTTATGGAAATTCTCTGGATTCTTGTTTCTTCCTCTTGTGACCTCCGAAGTGAACAATCAAGACGAGGATTTACCGAGAAATATCGCGGACAATTGCTGGTGCTTCGAGAATTAATTGCTTCGAACGTGCTCGGAGTGATGTGAATGATAGAAACACGAACGTTCACTCGTTCTTCTGTCTAATTTCTCTTCTTAATTCCCATTGTTTGTCCTTGTAGGACAGGAATATCCTATTGATGCGCGTTAACGAGATAAGCCGTTGATAATGTAGAAGATAAAAGCAGAGAACAATTGACGCGAAAAAATGATACAACGCATAATGCGTTCTGGATAATTAGATTTGCATAACGATTTATTTTCACGATTAGTGCGCCTGTTAACTGTAAACAGTGAAATAAAATGCATCTAACGAGTTCAATTGTGCAATGACGTTTGATTTTACATAATGTTGTTTGTATGTCAACCTTTGGTACAGTGTTTGCTACTTTGTGTCGCAGATCTGACATGTGGCGTTAAAAATATATTGTATTTGTTAATTTATCATAAATTGCGCTGTATGCGAAGCAGTTCGATAACAAGACAAATATTTTGCATGCTTGTTGTTAATGATCAATTAAGCTTTGAATAATTAGATTGGAATAAAAAGTTGGTGTCAATAATTGGGTCACGTTGAAATAAAAACTTTGTGTCGATAACTAGATCAAATTAGTTTTAATAGAACTGTAAAAAGTGCTACCGCTATTCTGGATAATTCAAACAACTTTACGATGAATAATTATTAATATAAATCCACTATTTCACTTTCTTACACACTTTTCGTGTATATATAAATAATAATCGTTGTTTAAAGTTTGACACGAACGTTATTCATAGAAAATACCATATACAATGAAATTACATCGTTTCCTTGCTTCAATCCTTTCATAATCTATCGACTGTGATTATAACGAAAACTGAATCATCCATAATCAATTTCATGTGCAAAACATCGTTTACCAGAAGTTAAAAATGAAAAGAAATATATATATGTATTTATCAATCTTTCTCTAAAATTTTCAATGCTTATAATTTACTTCGTAGATATCTCCCTTCCTTCAGCTTTTACATAAAACCCTCTGGAACTCATCGTACCCATACTTTTCTACAGATTTACGATCCCAGAGAAGCGACGACAAAGCCGCCAAATCGACGAGAATCAGATCTTCCTTGGTACTCGCGCTACAACGGCAGCGATGATCTATCGCGTTCTCCAAAATGGTGGGGCACTACGGAACCACCGGTGCCCAGAGAACCGTACATCGTAGAGGTTGAAACGAAGACCTGGAGTCCGTGGAGCAGAAATCCTGAAAGTGGAATCGAGCAAAGGACGGAGATCGCAGACGAATCTCAAACCACGACCAACGACGACAAAAATGGCGGTTATTCGCTGGAGTACAGTCAATTCGAGCAACAGGAGAGTAAAAAATTTCCTTCGAACCCGCTCGATTATTCGGATCTGGAACAGAAGCAGGAGACTAAAGGGAAGAAGCAGAGAGTTTCCAAGGAAAATGACGTGCAGAAGGGAACGAAGGACGATCAGGATTTTTATGAAGACTCGGTAACATTAATTATGCGTTTGTTTAGAAAGATCTTTGGTTCGAAGTGTTATTCATGCTACTTTGGCAGCTTTTCAATCGCTCAATATAGGCGATATTCAGAAGGCAACATTCAGCGATATTCAGTTTGGCAAAAATATTGATAATTATTCTTCTGAAATTTTTCTCAAAAGGTTGTTCGCTGTTAAAGAATTTTTTAAATGATGTTCAACTGTATAATATACGACGTGCTTCAACTTTTAGATTACTTTAGACAATTCAAGCATTTTTCAGAAACCGCATAAGGAGATAATTCCTATTCCAGCGAGCCAGAAACTTACAGTGGCTCGATATGATACCGAAATGGGCGTTCAATGTCCAGAATTCAATTCAACTGGACAGTTCATCTATCCTCCGGATTGTAAATTTTTCGTGAACTGTTGGAAGGGCAGAGCTTTCGTTCAACCGTGTGCTCCTGGCACACTCTTCAATCCGAATACTTTGGAATGCGATTTCCCACATAAAGTCAAGTGTTACGGAGGAGAGGTTGCTGAGTTTCCGTCGAACGAACACTTGGACTCGTCGGGAAGACGTGAACCATTGGTGCCTGGTAACCATCACGGTTATCCGGAAAATGGAAGACTACAAGTCAGTTGAAGTACCTTTAAACACGATTACTTATATAGAGTGGACCAATAGAAACTACGATTTTGAATAAGTCTCGATTTATCGAAGAGTAATTTGGTGTAAAATACGGTCGCTGCGATTTCTTTGCAGAGATTTAGAGACATTCTACCGTCTTATATTTATTTATTAAAACTCATACAGTAAAGTCATTGAGAAATGCCATTGGAAAAATCTTCCCTTCAATAATATACTGAAATGCTGTAATATTTACTTATTCTTGAATATACAAATAATAAATACTGTATAAGAAAGGGAACATTCATTTATATACGAAACAATTTTCTTTCGAAGACTTATTCTCTGACTTTCCTAATTTTGGAGATATTTACCATCGTTCCATTCTATGTAATCTGTTTGTTCTATGTAAACAAGTTTGATAAGAAATATAAAGGATGTTGGAAAAAATTTTGACGCTTGAAAGGAACACTGAATATAAAGTACTTGTTTAGGGCAATTGAACAATGTTAAATTCCAATTACAGGAACCACAATGTCCACTCCATATAACAGGTTTGTTACCCCATCCTTCGGATTGCACAAAATTCCTACAATGTGCAAATGGTGGCACGTTCGTCATGGATTGTGGTCCTGGCACAGTGTTCAACCCTGCAATCAGTAATTGCGATTGGCCCAACAAAGTAAGAGGCTGCGAAGGTAATAAAACATAAGTGAATCAATATACGTATAATACGTGCAATGATTAAAAGATCCTAAATAAATTTCGTCGAATAGACGCGCTGAAATCTAAAGAAGAAGTCACGACACCACTGGTTCCTCCCTATCCCAACAGTAACGGACACAGCAAGTTAGAATTTAACGAGAATCAACCAGTAAAGATCACCTGTCCTCCGGATTACACGGGAATGTTACCTCATCCAGAAACGTGTACGAAGTTTCTTCAATGCGATCGCGGTGGAACGTTTATCATGGACTGTGGTCCAGGAACAGCCTTCAATCCTTTGATTTCCGTCTGTGATTGGCCTTATAACGTACCTGCTTGTGACAAAGGTAATTTCTCGCGATATCGATCAAATTTCAGAGAACAGTGTAGACAGTGTGTCAGAGAACATTACGATTTTAAACGGTACCTTCATAACAGCTAGAGAATCCAAAAATATTAGACACGTATTTCTTTTTAGCTGCGAATATTCGTGTTTAGGGGGTGAAATCACCCTTCAAATCACGGGCGTTAGGAGGCTACTAATTAGAATACCTCGAAAATGAATTGACAGAAAGAGAAACGTTAAGTATGAAGCAGACTTCTGTCTGCGATGTAAACGAAATTTGGACAAGATTACAACTGGTGTCGCCATAGCTAAAAGTGTCATATTTCTGTAAATATTTTCTAACAAACATACAATTCTTTCCGAATTTTCGGAAATTTGTAACAAAGCAACATCACCCGATTGTCTCATTAAAAAGAACGTCAGTATATAAATCAAACATTTCTGCAATCTGAGCTCAAGAACTTTTGTTAGAAACTATAAAATAACTTCATATTTAAGAAGTACACAAAATTTACAATTTACAATAAATTGGCTCATAGACAAACCAACTCGTACGCAACAGCCAGCTCCAGGCTGGTCGTCTCACGGTTCCACAGATTCGAGAACCTGGCAGCATTCTCACCAGCAGAACCACCACGGATATCCTAATCGTCCCTTAACAACGACGACCACTCGTCCAGGAACAGATTGGGAGTCTTTAAGACCGACGTGGCGACCAAGTTGGAAACCGAATGCTTGGACAATTGCCACGCCACCTTATGCTCGCGGTCATCATGCTGGCCACAATACGAATACTAACATGCCTCGTGGACACAACGAATGGAACCAATCACCAGGCTCGTTTCCTCCTCCTACACAGTGGCCTCACAACCACGGATCAGAAAATCCGAATCGAAATAACGACAACAGATTCCATCACCATTACCATCATCATCATCACCACTACGAACCAACGTACGACTCCGACGGAAACGTGGAAACACAGCAACCGATTCCTCCACACGGCCAACCGAATCCTCAGAGACCAGTTCAAGGAGTTCCCGAACCTGGAAATTGGCCCTCGAATCAAGGACACCATCATCAACATCACCATTACCATCATGGTAGCCAAGACAAACCTCAACCTGGTCACGATTACGAATGGGAACCCGAGGAATCCGGCCAACAGACGCAACAGCCAATTTTCGATCGGACAAAAGATGACAAAGTGGATTTTGGAGGCAACGTGCCAGCGAACCGAAGACACGGCGAAGATTTTACGCCTAACAGACAAGAGTACGGGAGAACTGTTCCCGGATTCACTCAATCGAGATCTGATCAACCGCCTGCTCAAAACGAGAACGTTCACATGGACAACGAGAATCAGAGGCCAGTTGACACGCAGATCGTGGAGAATAAGACGGCCTGGACTCAACCCGTGACGAGAGGAAGCAGATACACTCCTACCAGTTGGAGTCAACTTGGTCCTGAGCAACGGCCACCTGATCGACGTTGGGATCAAGGTGATATTTTACGTCCTTTCTTAATATTTTAAAATGTAGATTGGTGTAGATTTATGTTATGTGTATTTAGCAAATGGATACTCCAGTAGAGGGAAAAAATAAACATTGCAAATTGTATTTTATCTACCTTTTATTAGCTCCTTTAACTTGCACTTTGCTCACACGTTTAGCTTCTCCGGATCGAACAAGGCATGTTTGAGTTAATAATGCACGGCATGCAACAGAGCATGAGATTGTTGCGTTGCATCGTTTCAGTGTGAAAAATTCATTCGTATCAGTCTTCGAAGTGTGACGATTACAGTGAGAATCTTTAGGTGAGAGCTTTGAAGATTCTTCTGAAATTTGTTGTAAGTAAGATAACGACAATAAGTTAGACTTGCAAGAATAATCTTCAATTTTGGACGAAGGATGCTGATTGTAATTGCTGAGAAACAGGTAAATACGATTATTTTACGTCGAAAAGAGAGAGAAACAAATCTATCAAGTGTCTTGCTCGGTGTGAAGGTTTTCTTTCCTTGGTTTCACGATATCAAGTGGGTTATATACTTTATTAAACATAATAAAGAATTTTAAGAATTCGCTTTCTTCAGGTTCCGTTAACGAGGAGGACAAATTTCGCGAATGGGGATCCGGGACCAATGTTTATCAGAGCACAGCTGACAAGGAAGTGGATTCGAAGTTAGATCAATGGATGTCGAAGCCGAATATGTTTGAGAGTGGCAAAGGACAAAATCGACCTGGTGAGTGAACGTAACGAATTTTAGAAACTCTCTTTCTCGTTTTCATCATTTCGTTGATTTTTCCCGCAGGAGTGAAAAATGTTTCGCCTACTTATCCAAGTAACATTTACGTGAACTTGAACGGCACAAGGGGCCATTTTATCACTAAAGAAATCCAAGTGAACCAAGGTCACTCGAAAACAAAAACCTACAGACCGAACGATCTTCCAAATCCAAACGAATACAACAAAAATGATCAAAATATCTACGTCGGCTCTGAGATGACGAATTTCGATAATATACCATCGATGGTCCTCGAACCACCGTTACTTACTCCAAACACTCCTTCTGTTGGGTCAAACAATCCGTCACGAAGCAATGGATACAATCGTCGAGCTCCCAAGAATTATTGGCCAAATAATTCAACTTCCATGGGTTCCGGAGATTTGGCAGAATCTGGTAATTAACGTCTATCAAATGTCGAAGTTTCTTCATTATTTTTAGTACTTTCAATTCTGATACGATCGTCGCTCGATTATTTTCCCCTCCAATTTCATCCAACTGCTTCGTTTATCAGGTACCAGTTACAATCGCGCGATCCTGCCGTATCCACCTCCCCATAAATCGTTGGCTTCTCCGACCGCGATGAATTTCTCAGGAACGATCAATTATTATCCACCTGTACCATCGCCAAATTTGCAACCACCGCCTCGTGAAAACAGAACGTTTCCGTTTGGCTGGCAGTATCCAGCTGTTCCGTCTGTTGAACTTCAACCGCCGTTTTACGAGCCTCCGAAGCACACTTTGAACACTCCCAATTTCGCGTCGCCAAATGCTACTCAACGTCCAACATCGACCACCAATCTCCAACCTCCAGACCAACTGCCTCGTCCAAATTTTACGCCGAACGTCACTGGACAATATCCACGCGTTCCATCGATCATCTTGGAACCACCTTTCGAAGACTCGCCTACTCGTTCCGACGATCCGTCCACGAGTAGTACGACTGAAAAAATTCCAGAAGAACGTATAACATCTCCACCGAAGAAAAGGTTTCTGCAAAATTCAGATGGACCTCAAAGTATCGCTACAACGACAGATTCGAGTATAGATTCTTCGAGTATAGATCTTCCAGATATTATCGAGCCTGATTTGGACTCCGAGGTGGACGTGCTGGTAGATAAGAAAGTGTGGAAGCCGGTGTTAGTCTTCGACAATAAAAGTGAAACGACCACGGAATCCTCTGTTATCATGAAAATCAATAAGAAGAAGGTCGACGTAGATCTTTTCAATATCGAGGCTGGCCCGTTCGAGAAAGGTAAGTCTGTAATTGTCTTAAGCGTGAGTTTCAAACGATCTATCTCGAGGTTCAACAGAGTACAGGTAAGTTCTTCAGTTTTAGTCTCGTTTTTGCACAATTTGCTAAGTTGACTCGCTTCTGGCATGAATTGCTCCTGGAACGATCTGTTAACATTGGGCCTGGATCAGTTTGAAGTTGTGATAACATTTTACTGTATGCGTACGATATCTTATAAGTTGATTATTTTTAAGGATTTTAGGGTCGTTTACAAATTTGTCGGCTGCAATATTTTTATCGTTCTGCTTTTATGAAATATCGAGAAATGAAAAATATTATTTTGCAGAAGAGCCACCGTTTCCATCGTACTACGTGCCACCGGTGGAACCAATAAATCGCTGGAAGAAAAGTGCTCCGCGAACGCCAATTTCTGGACAGGTAAAATGCTTTGTTAACGTTAAGACGGTTGTTATTTTTACGTTAACAATAAATTTTCAGGGACTGTAATGTCATACTTCTACTTTCGAATTAATTTTTATTTCTGAAATATCTGTTCAAGCGTTGAATTCGTGTATTTTCAGGTGATTCGACTCAGAGGTGGTTCTGGACCTCACGATGGCTACGTTGAAGTTCAAGGAGTGAGTCCCGGATGGGGACTTGTTTGCGACTCGAAGAACAGCTGGACTTTGAAGGAGGCGCACGTCGTATGCAAACAACTTGGATACACGAGGTATTTTGCAATATAAATCTTAATTAAAAATTCATCGAGCAGTGAATTTTTTTGCATATTTATACCTTTGTAATGTGTTAAAATATCAAAAGCAGATGTAAATTAACTAGATCATTACTTTGGAGTAAAATTCGAAACGTAGTGCTCAAAGGGTTAAAAAGAATTGTTTTCTTTTATGCCGCCGAACGTGTAAATACGTTCCCCTTCGAATCTTTTTCATTTACAAAATTTTCCAATTCTACCCTGAAATTTATGTTGTCCGTTTTAAATTCTAAAACTAGAAATTCTACGATGCATGAATCCTCGAATACGAAGCGACAGAAATTCCTTTGTTCTTTACAGAGGCGCCGAGATGGCTTGGCAAGGAAGAAACGATCGAAACGGCGTGCCAACTTGGATCGCCGCAAATTCCGTCTCGTGTCAAGGCAACGAGGCCAAATTTCAATCGTGCAAGTAAGACGCCGTTCCGATGATGATTCATGCATATCTCTTTCAGATAAGAAGCTTCCGATGTCGCTGACGTTCCGAACAAATATTGCATAAATCACGTTGCTAATTACGTTCTCGGAAATTTGCATCGAAGCATCTTAGGAAGGAAAAATCATACGACCCGCAGTTACGAAATTTTGCTTAGCAAAACATTTCTCGAAATTCATATTCTATGAATTGTAATGCAAGAATTCTCATGACGTCTAATTTTCAGCCGTTCGAAGCGCTTCGTCGCGTTTTATGATACTTTATTCGGTTTGATACTCTATTCGACCTGAAATATCACTTTACGACAGCGATTAAAATGGTAGAGAGATTTCACATGATCGCTGTGAGTCATAGTGTAACATCCATAAAAGTTAGCAAACTTAATTAGCAGGCATTTCTAAAATTTCATTTCATTACGGATCTCCTATTAACCTATGCTTGAATTTTTGGTAACTTGTGCGTTTTTGGAAACAGCAAATATTCAATGAAATATCGATAATATTTGCAGTATTGAAAATATCGACTGAATAATACGATACACTGTGAAATTTTCAAATATTTGAAATATCAGAGAAAACGGTGAAAACGGAGAATGTCAGAGCGCAGTTTCCAACAATGCTAACGTGATTCATAAAAAGTTCATATTTTTTTAAGTAACGAATCATAGTTAAGCATCCCGTTGGGGGTCTTTAGAAATCATATTTAAGCATTCTTCGATTCTCTAGGAATCATATTTAAATATTTTACGTTGCACAAGCAACTAGTGTCTATCTAATCTATCTCTCGACGTCCAAAAAGTTCAATTTTCTCAATTAATTCATTCACCGTCTCGCAGATTCACGCACGAGCAAGAGTGCCGCGTGGAGAAAGACGCGGTCGGCGTGAGATGCGTGCAGAACCGCGTAGCGCACTGTCGCAAAGATGAGATATCATACGAAGGACAATGTTATCACTTGGCTGATCCTCAGAGCGGATTAAACCACGCGGAAGCGCTGGATTATTGCTCGCAGAGGCAGGCGAGGCTCATCGATATCACCAGCCAAGCGGAAAACGATTTCGTCTCCGAGTGGCTGTCGCAAAAGCATCCGGAAGTCGCGTCGATTATGACTTCTGGCGTCGGTTTCACCACCCTGAATCGCACCCTGTGGCTCTGGGAGGATTCTTCTCGAGCGAAATTTAGGTAGTTCCCTTGGTAATTTTGCAGGGTAGAGACACTTTTAGATACAATAAAACTAGATTCATTGTTAACGTCTTCGTGAGACGAAGTTTGTATACGACGTTACGTGGAATTATGTTAACGGTACTCGTCCTATCGATCTGTCGATCCTAGGTGCGATAAGTTGGCTTAAAGTAGGATTAAGGGCTCGAGGATTTTATGCTTCATGACGTGGAAGGATTTATCACGCAAAACGGTACTTTTGGAATTTATTTCAGTAAAATGTGTAGATTTTTTAAAAATATTTGGTGCCTCGAAATCTTCCTGTTTTAGACGTCTTGTCTTCCAAAATACATTTTTTAATATTAGATGGAAATTTTAACGTTTGAGCCAAGGCTCTTGATATTTAAACCATGGTTAGCATTTTTTAACATTTAAGCTACGATATTTAATACTTAATATTACAAGATTTATTTAAAAAAAATGACGGAGAGCTGTTTAATTCTTTAAGGTATAAGCCTACATTTACTGCCATAATTTACAGTACAGGCACAGATTAATACTGCAAGGTGTGGAACTATTTGAAATGCCAGCGATAAAATCATTTCACCTAACACTTGTATTAATTAACCGTAATTAGATTCACCAAATGGTGGCCAGGCTGGATGGAGGACAAAAAACACGCCCCATTCGTGGGCTCTCGTCCTCTTTGCCTGGTAATGAAGCGCAAATTTCCATGCCACGAGAGGCCGGACTCGATTTGCGTTGCTGATTACTTCTTTTGGGACACCGAGGACTGTGCTTCCTCTTACAAAGGTCACTCGTACATTTGCAAGAGGCCCTACGACGATATTGGTATGAATTTCTTAGTTAGTACTTAAATACATTTCGATTACTCCTAAGGGAGGTTTCTAAGCAAAATAATTTCCAAGTACGACACAACTGAAATTATTCGTAGATTTTGAAAAAATGCTTCTTTTCTAATCGTTTCTCAGGCTGCATTTACGGGAAAGGAAACCAATACGCAGGAACCGCAAATGTAACAGCTTCTGGGAAAGATTGTCTTTCGTGGGGCGACGAGAAAGTTGCTTATCAACTTGCAGTTACCGTTAGTTCACATATTTTCATGTTTTTCTAATTT